AGAGAACAGTAACCCACAGTGTGTTATAAATCACATTTACCCTTAATGAGTATTGGCTACATGTCGCAACTTTTGGCTTCTATAATAAGATTTCCTTGTCATGCAATTTATAACGGTTTCATTATTTTCCGAAGTAGTCTCCTCAAAAAATAATAATATCGATAATAATAACAACAATAATATTAATATTAGTAATAATAATAATAATAATAATAATAATAATAATAATAATAATAATAATAATGATAATAATGATAATAATAATTAGGATAGAAATTGAAAAACGTAACCAAAAAAAAAAAAGTTGGAACAATTGCTAAAATGTTGTTCGGTAAAATATATTTTACTGAACGCGATTTAATCTTGAAAATGTCTGAATATTCCGATAACACGCCCGCGAAAGCTAGATTATAGTGGATTTTAGGATTTGTTACGAAATATTTTATTATTTTCCCTTTTAAACGAGGATTATGAACATCCTGCAAGCGTGTATGCGTCATATTGAGAGCATCCTGATAATATCAAGTGTGTATGCGTCATTGTTTTCCTTCCATACAGTTGCTCCACTCGAACAGAAGAAAGAATTTATTCATTATTAGATATTGAGTCTAGTAATGTATGGATTTGTCACAAATGACTGAATACATTTCGTAAATGTTCTGTTGAGTCTTATCCTCTTCCTCGTGAATGTATCTGAATGGTTTTAATTAGTGTTTTTAAGGCAGAGAGATCGTTAGATAAAAAGATAATCACGTGACTCAGCGGTGTTTCGTAGGCTGTGGCGGCTTATCCTTCATTTTATCAGGTAAGTGTGCGGTGCCTTGTTCCCATCGTGAAATCATATGGTTGTATGGTAAGGATGTTATTTTCTACGTTACATTTTAGTCAGTCAGGCTTCAAGGCCCTTTTAAATGGTGGCCACAAGATCGTTTTAAATGCAAGCCTTCTATCATGTGATATCAATCGCCCGAGTGTAAACATTTCAAAATGCGATAGACCGATGAGAGATAAACTTGAAGGTTCAGATAGTCCGCATATAATTCCACAGACAGCACGGCCGTCGCCGGGGTCAGGTGCCCACAAATCGGGGCAGGGAGGGTGGTGTTGACCAGAACCCCGGCTTCCACGGGCGTCACGTCCTGCTCCGCCGTCCCCTGGCGAGTACGTCACCTTCGGCTAGAATCAAGGAGGCACATAGCTCTCTCCTCTCTCTGTCTCTCTCTCTCTCTCTCTCTCCTCTCCTCTCCTCTCCTCTCCTCTCCTCTTCTCTTCTGTTCTCTTCTCGAGTCCGGGCTTTGTGACGGCTGCTGCTCGTCTGTCAGTCGTTTTCAGTTGCTTTTTGTTCTCTAATTTGTCTTTTTGTTTGGTTCATTCATTTATGCATTTATTGTTATTTGTATTTCTTTTTTTTTCGTTTTGGTTCTTGTTACTGTTGTCAATCGTAGTATTCGCACACTACACAATGAGTGTAAATATTTGCCTGCCGCTGAACATATCTATACAATGATTATTCCTGTACCTTGTTTTCATTATCATTATCATTGATATCATTATTGTTTTTGTCATTATTATTACTTTTCCATCCTTTTATCTGTTTTATCAAGCCACCAGTATGCCACCACTACTAAAAAAGGAATTAGAGCACTTTACTAACACTGGGTCTGAAAAGCGCAGCCAAGGGTCAGCTTAAACTACCCTGATCAAAAGACCTAATTAAGTTCAGTCAAAGATGTCAATGAAGATCCATCCATTTACATCTCGATCGAATCTTTATTTATTCATATATATATTTCTTTATTTGGTGTCTTGTTGTTATTTTATCTTTTTTACTTATTTTCATCCGTATTGTCTTCTCTGTTATTTTATTTTTGCCTGCTTATCCTTTTGCTAGCTGAAGATTCCTTCGCTGTGTGACCAAACTATGAGATTTTTTCTCTACCTATCTAGTATTTGGCGATCTCGTCTTTTCCTTTCCTTCTTCCTTCCCCCCTTCATTATTTCTTCCCTCCGTCTTCTATTCTTCATCTCATTTTCCCTCCTTTCCCTCTCTCTTCGTCCTCCTGCCATTCTCTCTCTCTCTCTCTCTCTCTCTCTCTCTCTACCTACTTTCTTTTTGAATCGAAATATCGTGGACTACACACGATGAAAAATAAAATTACCAAGGTGTGTTAAGGAAAACGCGTTTTAAAATTCACACGTTCATTTATTAATAAACAAGAGAGAGAAAAGGAAGATCAGTTAAATCAACTATTTCAATCGCTATTTCCTTGCCACTGAACCACAACTCATTTTCTTTATATTAAGACCATGAGGCACAAGGCACTGTCTACGTTGTATAAAATTTGGAATGACAATGTTCTCTGCCGTATCAAAAATATGAAATCATTTAGTTATCTTTATCTATTGAACACAAGGAACAAATTGCTTTCACTGCGTTAAAAAATATGGAACAATGTAGTGTTCTTATTGTTAAAAATATCGAATAAATTAGTGATCACTTTGTATAATAAGTAAGGCAAGACATAATACAAGAATTTAACACTTTTTTGCATTTTTTGACCAATGGAATATAATTTTGCAACAAAGTTGTTTTTTTTTTTGTTTTGTTGTAATGTTTGTTTTACATTTTCGAAACATGTCAATGATAAACATCAAAATAATATCATCACCGCATTATATGCAATGATGATATTATTATAATACCAGTTTTGCTATACGGTAGTGAAACCTGGACATTATCCTGTGCCTTGGAGTCTCGTCTTGATGCCTTTTGTTGCAACCATGCTTCCATACATGCATGTATGCCTTCCGCACGCCTTCACTAATATGATATATATATATATATATATATATATATATATATATATATATATATATATATACATACAAGCACACACACAATGTGAATATATATATACACAGTATATATAGATAATCTAATCCTTTCCAAGGATTTCTTCTAATCAATATTTTTCTCATAATTTCTTGTAAATTTATTACTCCCCCGTTCTTTTTATAATTTATTGAAGGGTTACCGAAAATGCATAATAAATTTATTAGGATGTTGGATTCAACAATACACATCTACTTAACATGTACAGAATAAGTTTTCCTTCCCAACAATGCGATAAATTATTGCATATCATAATTAGATTAAGAGCAAATATCTGTCCGTTTTCACTCTTAATCTCCAAAATGAAATAAAAATCTGTCTTCATTTATCCAGTTGGCAATTTTTTTTCTATTTCTGCTTGCAATGTTTCCATGTTTATTCTTGTATTGCACATTTTACGTCACTTGACAACTCGCTAGCACCTTGCACGTTGTCTTCTGTAATAACGTATATGCAAAACTAAAATTTCAAGGCTCTAAATTTGGGTATTTGATTTATTCTTTATCCCTGTCGTAATTTGCAGTATAGCCTGCATTATCATAGCCATTATTCTGAGGACCGTAACCATACTAACTGTTAAGTAAAGTAGTTTTTTGAATCTGTTAATTCATGTGGATCCTGCATTGTAGTAGCAGCAATCAGAAAAATGCAATAAATATGCTTTGGTTATTTTTTCAAATATGTAATAATAATTTTTGATAATCCTGGTGATCTCAAACGGCTTAGAAATTATATAATGTAATAATGAGATGGGAGTTGCGAGATGCAAAGCGTTGGACCAGCGAACTCGAACTGGGACTTCGGTGGAGGTGAGACGCACGGTCTTGTGGTATTTGTTGTTCATACGATTTAACTGTAAGATTAGTATCTGAAGTACAAGAAGTTCCAGCATGATTATTTAACGATATATGTAAATGGTGATATACTATGTGCCTTGAATGATTGACGCCCAGATTGGTTTTGCTTACTTTTCTGGCAGAACTAAAGGGTTTCGTTTACCCTCAGTGATAATTTCCATGTCATATACATTCTTATTTCGGGGCATCCGCCTAATGGCATGTATTTTGTATTTTGTGTTTAACCCAGTGAGTAATTTCACCTATGAATATTAACTTTTTTTTTTTGACAGAGAGCATGTTTTTATTAAATATATACCTATATAAATGTATTAGTGTTTTATATAATTCCACAATCTTACTGTATCCTTGAATGAATTATTCAACTGATTAATTACTTTTTTTAATGATCCAACACTAAGAAACTTAAGATAATGGTTGTGTAAAGACAGAAAATGATACTATAAGATTATGAAAGCTTTGTAAAGGTACTTTAACATTCATTTAAATCTAGTTAGTAATTAAAATGTGACTAACTGATTCTTAGTGCTGATAAATATTCTGGGTAGTGAACCTAACAGCCCTGTTGAAACAAGCTTCTAATTATTTCTGTGCACTAATAAAGAATTACGGAATTCATACGAGTTAATGAAAACAAAGTGAAGGTTAAGAACAAATTTGAGATCCTTAGGGACTCTGAGAATAATGGAAGCTTTTACTTCTATATTGCGTTGAAAGATCAGGAAAGTAGTAATAACTGTGATAATAAGACTGTTAAGATGATACGGATATGAACTTAGAAAATTATGACTAATTTTGCTCATATTTTACTAATATTCTCGAATAAATAATAATTCTCACTAAGATCAACATAAGGTTTTTCTGATTTAGCTAAGCAAGGTTAATTGTAAAACTGTTCGTGATGCTGGTCGTCCTGCGAGCCGTAATATGCGACGTTCTCATAGATGTGCGGCGGGTCATGGCTAGGTTCGCCACTGTAAGGTGGTAGGCCTACTTCGTTAATGGTCGACCGCGGCGGCGGAGGTTGGGAAAGTTTTTCATTTTTCGGTTTTCTGAGGCACCGACAGGTCAACATCTGCCACAGCCAAAGGTCATCGAGGTTGCCACGATTCATAAATAAGTATATGCCAATGGCGAGGATCACCAAGAACAAAATAACGCCGATGACGATGCCGACGATGGCTCCTGTACCCAGAGGTGTTGGGGGATTTGGGGGGTCTATGGGCGGAGTCTCTGTGGCGGAGCAGGACACCATCTCCCTCACTTCATTGGACTCTTTGCCTTGCACCGACTGCGAGTCTGTGGCCGATACGGTTATGTGGAAGAGGACATCACAGTCCGGCAACTGCGTGGTGATGGTGACAAGCATTCCGGCCTCCTGTGTCTCGTTGGACGAGTAGGTTGTGATGGTGTTGTCGTCCCTCTTAAAGTTTACATCGTATCTTGCAGCTGGAATGGAAGTAACGTTACACACTCAGCGGAGGCTGCATAGTAGTCTTTATCACAGTAAACAATATAAAATCCAAACATGTTTTTTTTTTCTAAAGACTGAGGGGTAAAGGAAAAGACAAGAGGTTCGCTAATATTTCTGCAAGTTCTGTAAAATTCACATTACGGTAAATCTTTCAGTACCAGTCAGAATCACAATCAGTAGTACGTAATCGGACTTTATATGTTTGTTACAACTTTCTTCAAGGTCAAATATGAAAGGAAAGAAACAAACCTAGCCGTAAAATATAGATATGTGACGACATAAACCTTACAGAAACGTCATACTACATGGCTACACAGAGAACCAAGAAGAGATTTGTATCAGAAAATTTAGAAGTATGTCGAGTATCAATCTCTTTGCAAGGAAGTTTAATAGTACCTTTTCCAACGAGCTATTTAGGTGTTTTTCCTTTTTTTACGTTGACAAAGTTGTAGATAAGAGTTATCATTGAGATACCGAGCTCATGCGCACACCATTATGAACTATGTCGCCAATTTTATATTCATTATATCATTATCTTAGATACTATAATACGCACTTCACCATGAATTCCTGCTATAGTGTCTAATTGCACTGTTTTATTCTTCATTTAAACCCAGCCCTCATGTGGATTCCAAAGAGAATAATTGGTGTAGTTCTTTAAGTCTGTTACACGAACAATAGGAAATGCATGTGGACATGAATTTCATGTGGGATTTTCAAGAGGAACTTCAAAATAACTTCTCCGAAACTAAGCATGAGGTACTCAGGGTTCTAGATTTGAGTTTATTTTAGAAGTAAAAAGTATAAGTAATACTCTGGGCACACCACAAAAACGCGCAAAGAACGTAAACCAGAAAAGACAGATCCAGTCAGATGCAGAAAACCCAGCAAAATGGAAGGCGGAAACTTCGACCCCCCCCCATTAGCTGCTGGCCGGTAACTGTTCGTTCATAGTTCACAACAATTATATAAAATGGGGTAAATCAAGATATCACAGATAAATCATTAGTAAGCATTGCTACTGGCGAGGTGCTATTAAAAGATTTAAAAAATGAATCTCAGGGTCCACTACAGTAATAATAATAATACAGATGATAATAATAATATCAACAATACTATTGATTAGAAGATAAATAATGAAAATATCAACAAAAATAAGAGCAAAAACATACACTCACAGGAACACCATCCCACACCCATTAACAAAAGCAGACTGACCTGTGCCTTGATCGAGGTCATCCCCAGGAGCCGTGAAGGTTAAGATGACCTGACTGAAGGTAAGAGATGACCTGAGATCCGTGACTCTGCCAGGAGGGAAGTTTGGGGGTATCGTTCCGGTCACTTCACCTGCGTTCTCCGAAGTGAGGGTGAAGGTGCCGGCAGAAGGGAGGTTAGTCTGGAAGGTGATCTGGCTCCCACAGCAGGATTGACCTAGGGTGGCGGGAGGTTGGCGAAGGGAAAGCTGAATTAGTGCATTGGTGTTGGAGGAAGAAGGTGCACTGAGGAAATTGAAACAAACTGATTGTTTGTGGAATGACGGTAAGGGGTGGTTCAACATTTTCACAAGCGTACAAAGAGCACTCTTTTTGCTACCCCCTCCCCCTAAAAGCGTATACCTGGAAATGTTGATGACTGAGACGAATTCACATCAACATTTTCAAAGAATTTAAAATGCGTGCGAGTGGGTTTAACCCCCAACCTCCAGCTCGTGAAAATGTTTAAAAAATTTACCACTGAACTTGCCTTCAATATCAGACCCCGTTCAATGTTCTCATGACGGAGGCGGATTCATTTGCTGGAATCGCTGCAAGTTTACAAGACTAGGACAATTTATAAAAGCTCAAATACAGGGAAAAATATATGAATCTGTTGCATACATGAATTTCGGCTATGCAATAAAAATATACAAATTATGCGCCCTGTTTTTTTCTTTATTACCTCATTCTGACCGTCAAGAATAATTCACACTACTTATCAAGCGATTACTCTCTGTATACGACAGCCATCACTACACCTCCACTCACAAACCGACCATCCAGTTAAGCAAAACACTAAAGCACTCAAAAATCACCCGCATTTCACCTCAGATCCAGGGTACCCTATCTACAGTACCTTCAGCAAGAATTCGCAAACCACACCTTACAAACCATTGATATCTACCGGAGCTGCACGTCTGGTCGCCGTCACCAGTTTGGCTGAACCGCCGTTGTCATTCGCTGCAACCTGGACGCTGGCACTTCCAGTCTGAGATAGGCCTATAAGGTAGGCCGAGTACA